AGCGTGAAGCCCTGAATTCAAACCCCAACACCGCTAAAAAATTAGTAAATAAATAAAAATAAATGGTTAAAATAGGAGCTAGGGTGTAGCTCAGGGGTTGAGTCCAACCCCAAGCCACACACACACAAGTTAAAATATCACAGTAAGAGGGAAAATGGTTAGAATGGTAAATTTTATGTTATACATATTTTACCTCAATAAAAAGTTCTGAAAAACTCAGGAGGTTAGAATTAACAGAATAATTTGGGAAGGGAAGAGGAGTAGCTTTTCACTGACATGGTTAAAAAATAACCAGTGCAAGGTGAGAAAGAAATAGTTGAAGATGGGTTTTGCTATTATTATTATTATTATTGTTATTTGTGGTCCTGTGGTTTGAACCCAGGAACTCACGCAAGAGCTATTTGAGCCATATCCCCAGTCCTCCTCACTTTAGCTGTTTTTCAGATGGGGTCCCGAGTTTTTGCCTGGGGCTGGCAATGAACCAAAATTCTCCTACCTTCACCCCCTACCACCGTGTAGCTGGGACTATAGGCTCTTACCATCACTCTCAACTTATTAAGATGAGGGTCTTGCTAACTTTTTGCCCCAACTGGCCTTGAACCAATATCTTCCAGATCTCCACCTCTAGAGTAACTGGGATTACAGGTGAGCACCACCAAACCCAACTACCATTATTATTTCTGAGACAGGATCTCACTGTGTAGCCCAGAGCAGCCTTGAATTTCTCGATCCTCCTGCCTCTCCCTCCCAAGTTCTGGGATTAAAAACATACACCACTATACCCAGCTTTTTATCATTGTTTTACCCATGTTTACCCCCAGGTGAGTTCTGTCCTACCTCCTGGCCTCTGGGACAACACTGGCCTGTTTATCTTTGTGGGTTCAGGGTTGGTTCGTCCTGTTTTTGTGTCGGAGTCAGTGAGGGATTTATCTAACACGTGTGTAACTTGCGTGTAATGTTATATGAACACTAAATGAGCTATTAGGAGTGTGCACCTCTCCCAGCACCCATGACAAGGGTGGCAGCACTTACCATCGCTGTGTGCTTGTCCTGTTTGCCTGGGGGCTTGAGTCTGCACGTTTCTGCACAAGCCTACAGTGGGTGTGGGAGCACACAGTGACCGTCTCCACCCGGTCCCCCCTGTCCAGCCTGGGAGTGCAGGGGTGGGGTCACTGCCCCTAGTTTGCAGGCCAGGGATTTCCCAGGGCTGGCCTGGTAGGAAAAGACACCTCAAAACCTAGCATCCCCAACATGTCTTCCTGCACTTCATCAATCAGGCTGGTGGGTGTAGATAGCAAATAGCCTGGCAGTGACCAAGGCCTCTTCTTGGTCCACGCCCTTACACAGAGCTGGGTCACGAATCCTACTGCAAGTGACCTGCAAGCCACATGGCACCTGGAGACCCAACCCCTGGGCTCATCAGGCACTGATGGACCCCAATTCTGCTACCTTCAAAGTAGGCACAGACTCCAGTTGGAATCCCTCCCCACGTACCCCAAAGCAGAATTCAAAGGAAGCCCCTTCCAAGGCCTTTGGCGTTCAGCACCATGGACGAGTGGGGTGGGCATCCCGCCCGCTGAGCCTGGCGGGTGCAGCAGGCCCAGCTCACAATGGAGAGGGAGGCCCCTGGACACACTTCTCTCCCAGCTCTGGGATTCCCAGGCTGAGTGGGCAGGAAATCCCGCTCCCTGAACATGGGTCTGTCCCCATTCCCACTGATGCTCTTTTGGGAGCCTTGGCTTTGGCCAGCAGGGAGGAAAGAACCCTTCTCCTGGGTTGGGGCGGGTGTTGGCACAGGCGCCCTGGACACAGACTGCAGTGTCTGGCTCCAGGGGCCTTCAGACACCCAGGGCCTGGCAGCTCTGCCAGCTGCCCAGAGAAGGGAGTATTGTCCTGTCCCTCTGGGACCAATGGATCTTGGGGGGCCTGGCTGACTCCTTGCTTCCAGGGTGGGCTGGGACTCACAGCCAGACACCAGGACCCAATTGTGTGGGAAGAGAGGTGGTGTGGACTCACCTCATGCTCACGCAAGGGTTTTGGGGAGAGTCGGGGGAAGAACGGCCAGGATTCAGAGTCATGTGTGAGCTGCAGGAAAGCCCGGCCTGGGCAGCGTGTGTGTGCGCGCACGCCATGCACCTGTGTACAAGGAAGCAGGGACACAGGGTCTCTCTGACGCTTTGGGGGTCCCAGCTCCCATCTGTGTGGTCCCGCAGAACCCCAAGCTAGCAAGATGTCACAGAAATCCTTCATTAGTCCAGAGCTATGTGTGGAGTTCAGAGCTCCCAGTGCACAGGTGAGCTTAGGAAACCATGTCCTGTGGGGCAGGGTGGCACTGAAGGGTGGAAGGTGTGTAGGTCCCGGTCCCCTGTGGAAACAAGCTTTGTCCAGTGCTTCCGGGAGCAAATAAAGCTGAGAACCCTGCTTCTGTCCTTTCACCCACTAATAAACAGGAGGCAGTAAAGGAAGTGCAAATCAAAATGACACTGTGATTCCATCTCAGTGGCCCCAGTCATCAAGAACACAAGCAGCAAAGGCTGGCGAGGATAGGGGACCCTTGTACATTGCTGCTGGGAATGTAAGTTAGTTCATCCACTATGGGAGTCAGTATGGAGGGGCCTCAAAAAATTGAAAATAAAACTCCCATATGATCCTGCTATACCACCCCTGGGCATGTATTCAAAGGAATGTACATCAGTATACAATAGAGCCAGGCGCAGTGGCTCACCTCTGTAATCCCAGCTACTCAGGAAGTGGAGATCAGGAAGATTGAGGTTTAAAGCCAATCTGGGCAAACAGTTCCTGAGACACTATCTCAAAAAACCATCACAAAAAATAGGGCTGGTGGAATGGCTCAAGGTGAAGGCCCTGAGTTCAAGTCCCAGTACTGCAAAAAAAAAAAAAAAGAAGAATGATGTGTAAAATGGTGACTGTTTGAGTGGGGAACCTACGGGGAGGAGGACAAAAAGACAGGGTGATGGGGGGGTAATTTTGCATCTGTGAAAATGGGATAATGAAACCTGTTACAATTGTTTTTAAAAGGGGGAGAAGGGTTAAGAAAAAGTACATTATATACACACATGGAACTATAACAATGAAACTCCCTTGTACAGTTAATACATGCTAATTAAAAAAACAAGACCAGGCACCTGTGGCTCACGCCTGTAATCCCAGCTACTCGGGAGAACCAAGATTCACAGTCCACCTGTGCAAATTAGTTCACAAGGAAAACAAAACAAAACAGGGAGCTAAATGCCATGTGACACTGTGGACTGGCTCCCAGAACAAAAGATGTTCATGGAAAAGCTGGTAAAATCCAATGACATCTTGACAGGTGTGGCAATGCACATCTATAGTCCCTGCTACTCAGGAGGCTGAGGTAGGAGAATCACTTAAGCCCAGGAATCCAAACATAGTGAGACCCCATCTGAAACAACAAAGCCAAAACAGCAAATCTGGAGTTTAGTTCATAGAATTGTACAGATGTTAACTTCTTGCTATGACAAATGAACCGTGGTTCTGTCAGGCACCTAGGTTAGGTGGGGAGACGGGGTGAGGGGGACATAGGAACTCTGTATGGTCAGCAGCTTATCTATAAATGCAAAGTTATCCCAAAATAAAAGAACAGGTAGAGACTGTAAAACAAGTTGTTATTGTTCCATTTGGCTTTTTTGGCAGCACTGGGGTTTGAACTCAGAACCTCATGCTTGCTAGGCAGGTGCTCTTACCATTTGAGCCACTCCTCCAGCCCAGCTGCTTTGTTTCTTTAGCAGATCACTGGAAGCCTTGGGCTCAGGCTGCTTTCAGACACAACTAATTTATTTATTTTATTTTATTTATTTTTGCAGTACTGGGATTTGAACTCGAGGCCCACACCTTGAGCCACTCCACCAGCCCTTTTTTGTGATGGGTTTTTTTGAGATAGGGTCTCAAAGAGAACTATTTACCTGGGCTGGCTTTGAACCATGATCCTCCTGACCTCTGCCTCCTGCATAGCTGGGATTACAGATGTGAGCACTGGCATCAGGCACGACTAATTTAAAATGAAAGGTGGAGCACCCGCTAGAATTAAATCATTCCACATTCAAACAGGGCCTAAGATACATAGTTGGCACTTCAGGAGGGGATCGCATATGCCAGGAGCTCTGTCCTCCCACTCACCTGACACACGCCTCATCCCACAAATTCATTATGCTCGACAGGGGGTGTTGGGTTTCCCGGGATGGCCTTAAGCCCTGAGCTTCAGCCTCCTGACTAGCTGAGACTACAGGTGTGTGCCACGGCACCTTGGTTCTACAGGCTCACTTTAGAGATGACAAAACTTTAGTACATGGGGTTCTGAGGTTCTGTTTGTTTTTCCGCTGCTGGGGTTTGAATTCAGAGCCTCACACTTATAAGGCAGGTGCAACGGGAGCCACGCCCCGTTATTATTTTTAATAACGTTTTCATTATTTTTCAAATACGATCTTTCTGGTTTTTTTTTTTTTTTTTTTGCTTGAGTCAGCCTGCACCACAGTCCTCTTATTTATGCCTCCCATATAGCAGGGATGCTAGGCATGCTACATGCCAGGCTTATTGGTTGAGTTGGGGGGGTCTTGCTAACTTTTTGCCCGGGCTGACTTTCAACCCTGATTCTCCCAATCTCCACCTCTAGCGTAGCTGGGATTACAGACGTACACCACCACACCCGGCTCTCCGTGGGGTCATGAAGCTGGTTGAGGTCACAGAGTCAGAGCTGCAGAACCCAGTCTCCCTGGCTCTCTGGAGGTGTGGCAATTTGGGGTGCATTCTGCGTTACCACGCCCCTAGGGTGAGGGTCCTACTTCGGAACCACCCTTCACCCAGGCCTGAGGCTTCTCTCAACCTGGCCCTGAGAGACACCTCTTCCCGCTGTCCTGGGGACAGAGAAGGTAATCATTCCCCTCCCCCTCCCCCCTCCTCGGCTGGGCTCCTCTGGGTCTCCTAGGGCCCCTGCCCAGAGCAAGACTTTCCCTTGGCTTTCATTAACTCCCGGCCCAGCTGCCCAGGCTGCGGGTGGCTGGGGCCCAGCTGGCCCCCATGATGCGGCAGTGGGGGGCGTTGGGAGGATGCTGGGTGGGCGGCCAGCGAGAGCTGACTTCCTGGGGCCTCCCTGGGTGCCGAGCAGCGTGGCCACTTCTGAAGGCCTCTTTGTCCACCCCTTTATCCAGAAGAGCGGCCGCAATTGTGCGGGTACAAAGCCCCCTGCGGCCCTGACTTCCACCCTTGCCTGTGGGCCGGCCGGAGAGGGTTTCCCAGGCTCCAGATGGCAGCCTCCTGCCCCTCCGAGGCAGCTGAGGACCCGGGCCCTCTACTTCTGATCTATTCATCGTCTCCCCGGCCCCCAGCCATTCATACAGGCCAGGGACCCGCAGCTCCCAGTCCTCCCTTGCCCGTGCCGGGACACATGGCTGTTCCCAAGCCCAGTCCCTTGGAAGATGCTGCAGAGCACGGAGGAGGCAGTGGACTGAGTGTGGGCCACCCAGAGCAGCTGGAAACGGGGTACAGATGGGGAGTGATCAGAGGACATGCCTGCAGGGTCCCTGTACGTGCCATGAGTGCATGCAGCTGCCCTGTGCCAGAGGGACAGTGTGCCAGAGGGACAGTGTGCCAGAGGGACAGTGAAACACGCCTCCTTCCCTGCACCTTTAAGCCTGGTGTGTAAGACCTGGACCCACGCCGCTGCGTTCACCCCTTGGGTACCACTCTCCCGGAGGCACCCAAGGCTCCCAGCTCCCAAGTGCAACTGGAGACCCACGAGGGTCTTTGACCTGAAGCCTCTGGTCTTACCTTCTCTGCAGGACGGAGGGCAGGGAATGTCAACCAGAGGGTGAGCTGCTCGGCCAGAGGCTGCTCCCGCTTGCCTGGACTCACCAGGTGGGGAGGTCTCCGAGGAACCCAACCTTGGAGCAATGGCTGACCTTGCTCCCTGGTTCTCTACTGGCCAATGCTTCCCTTAGGCTCAGGGAGGAGTCAAGGCCTAGGTCTTTTCCTGGAATCCAAAAGGGCTTCCTAGGGGCCAGGCTGGGGACATCAGCCCTCAAAGGAGAGCCAGGCCTGCCCCACCCTCAACAAGCCAGGGTCCTCTGCAGAGACCAAATTAGGCCAGTCTTCTCTCTCTCTCTCTCTCTCTCTCTCTCTCTCTCTCTCTCTCTCTCTCTCTCTCCCCTTTTCCTGCCCTTCCCTCCCCACCATCTTCTCTGCTTCCTCCCCTTTTCTTTCCTATTCTTCCCCCTCCTCCTTCCCCTACCCCCTCCTCTTCTCTACCCGCCTCCTCCCCTTCTACTGCCTCTCCTTCAAGTCCCCTCCTTTCTTACTTCCTTCTGATTTTCACCCCCTTTTTCTTCAGCTGCCTCCTTCCTCTCCCTCCTGCCTTCTCCTCCCACCCCATCCGTCTTGAAACTCATGTAAGTGATATACAGCCTCCTCCTCATTAATCCAGAGCCCAGAAATTACAAAGCTGGAGGAGCCTTTAGCCTCTCCTTCTCTAAGCCTCTTTTTTTTTCACATGAACTCAGAGAGGGCATGCACCTTGCCAAGGTCACACAGCTCAGAGCCTCAAAGTGCTATGTAGCCACTTGTGCATGGGGATTCACACCACCATGCTTACCATCTACTGAGTATCTAGAGTCTGTGCTAGGTCCTTACATCCAGGGCACCAACGCTTTCGAATACAGACTACTCTTTCCCATTATTTTGCACCAGGGAACTAAGACACAGAGAAGTCCGATGACTTATCAAGGTCACACAGCTAGAAAGAGGAAGAGCAGGGATTTAGCTCTTCACCGTTCAGGAGATCTGCTAGGGTCTCTGGCTCCAGCTCCTTCCTGCTCAGAATTCATTGGTCACTGATTTCCCCCAGAGGCTGCTTGAGCTATCACAGAAGCCTCTGTGCCACGCCACACTGTCCTCTGCCACCCGAACCTGGGGCTTCATCAGGCACCTTGTTCCTGAGTGAGATGGTCCCTCAGTTGAACTAGACACCCTGCCCTGCAGCTCAGGCCCTGCAGATGAGGCAGAGGGGAATCTAAGCCAATGGAGGTGGGGAGGGGCTGGCACGTCACCCCTCCCGTCTGTCTGCCCACCCTGGGGCCTCCTTCTGAGACACACATGAAGTCAGAATCTCAAAAAGCCCAGGGCAGAGGTAGAAGTGCAGCCAGGCTGTGGGGGTGAGCCGGGAAGTAGAAGGGGGTTGTCAGATGTAGGAGGACCCGGGTATACCCCCCACCACCGCTCGCCAGGGTGTCTCCCTGGAAGATGTGGGTCACTGGGTTCCAGGCCCTGGGGGGCCCCCTGCAGGTGTGCACCGTAGAACAGGCAGCAGCAGTAGTCCCCGTGTGTAAGACGGAGCTGTCCTGAAGACGAAGGGGGAAGGGAGGACCTGGCAGCAGTTTCTTCACTCAGTGGGGGAGGGGCCAAGATGTTAAGATCCACCTGCAGATCATCCCAAGCTGTGTGCCCTGCAATGGCTGCATGTGCCCCGAGGGGGCTCTCCGTCCTCATTTTCACAGACTTGCAGGGCAGGTCGTGATGGAACACAGGCCCAGGCAGAGGAGAGGGGTTTGGGCACCTGGAAACCCTCCAGGCCTCACTGAGGTTAGAGCACTTTCCAGGACATGGCTGAGGCTGGCAGGGCAGCCATGCACCCAGGAGGGACCAGAAAGCTGGGTCTGTGACCTATGCATGTGGCTTGTGTGTAGAAGTGCTGCTGCTAGACCTTGAGTCTGGCTCCACCACCTGCCTGTTCAGAACGTCACCTGCACAGGTGAGATCCACAGAGATCTTCCAGATGCCAGACTTCCTCCTTCCATCCATCCTCCAATCATAGTTTCCTTTTCGATTTTTTTTTTTTTTTTTTTTTTTTTGCGGAACTGGGGCTTGAACTCAGGGCCTTCACCTTAAGCCACTGCACCAGTCCTATTTTTGTGAAGGATTTTTCAAGATAGGGGGGCTCTCAAACTACTTGCCTGGACTGGCTTCGAACCGAGATCCTCCTGATCTCTGCCTCCTGAGTAGCTAAGATAACAGGCGTGAGCTGCTGGTGCCTGGCCTATCCCAGTTTCTGTACACATAACCCCTGCTCATTGCCTCCTGTTGGAAAGAGCGACACAGATAAAAAGATTCTTATTTTTACCACATTTGCCATTCCCTGGTCTAAGCAGAGTGTCAAGAGTGACAAGCTAAAAGCTACCGATTAGGGTGACTTCAAGTCAGCAACCAGCGAAGAGCCAACCTCAGAAATCATATGGTCCAGCCTGTTGTAGGTGTCTAACCCTGCGATTAATCAGCATTGCAGCTCCCGCCCCAGGAGGTGGGAACCTGGTAATTAAAGGAAGAGACACGCTCCCCCCTGGGGAAGATGCACCTGAAGAGAGCAGAGATAGGGGCTAGGGAGGAGCCACTATGAAATCAGGTGGGTTATTTTGAATTCAAAGCCATAGTGTTGATCTGTGGCTGGGCTAAGGTCTTCTTTTCCCCACTCCTCCAAACCTCCAGGATTATCATTCAATCCAATTTATCAGCCTGTCCTCTGGGGGCCTAGAAATTAGACCAGATGAGGCCGAAGGAAACACACGCACACACGCACGCGAGGAGAGGCATTTAATCAGTCTGGCAGGACAGGCTGCTTTGAAGAGTGATTCCAGCTGGGCGCTGGCAGCTCATGCCTGTAATCTTAGCTACTCAGGGGGCAGAGATCAGGAGGATCTCTGTTCGAAGCCAGTCTGGGCAAATATTTTGCGCGATCCTGTCTTGAGAAAACTCATCACAAACATAGGACTGGTGGAGTGGCTCAAAGTGTAGGCCCTGAGTTCAAACCCCAGTACTGCCAAAAAAAATAAGAGTGATTCCATTAATTTTACTCTCCATATTTGTACTGGAGGTGTGGCTTAAGCAGTAGGCCACCTGCTTTGCAAGCATGAAGCTCTGAGTTTGAACCGCAATCCCACAAAAAAAACAAAAACCAAAAAACTCCCAATATCCAGCAGGCTAGGCAGAGACTAAACCTTCCCTCCAGGTGGTTTGGTAAAGGTTGAAACTTTGTTTGCAAACTTTGCTTTCTTGGTTTGGATTCTTTTTGACAATTCGGGAGTTGAACTCAGGGCCTTATGCTTGCCAGGCAGGCACTCTACTACTTGAGCCACTCCACCAACCCCTTTGGGCTTTAGTTACTTTTTGAATGAGGTCTTGTGTTCATTCCTGCGTAAGCCTGGACTATGCTCCTCCCATCTGTGCTTCCTGCATAGCCAGAATCATAGGCACACACCACCATGCCCAGCCATTAGTTGAGATGGGGTCTTTCAAACTTTTTGCCTGGACTAGCCTGGAAATGCCAGCCTCCCAAGTAGCTGGGACTACAGGTGTGATCCACCACACCGGGCCTGCAACACTGGTTTTGATGGGCTTGTCACATCAGCGTTACAATCCAGATGGGGGCCCTGGCATTCTGGCAGCTCATTCTGTGCTGGCAGCTGCCTTTGTTTCATGGGGCTGTCTTCTGGGATGGAGGTGCTGCAGACCAGTGTGGAGCACAGAGCCAGACCTCCTGGGCTGGACCTCCGTGGCCTTCTCAGAGATAGAGGTGTGCCCAGGCCTCTAGGTGACCAGTGTGGGGAAGTAGAGACAGATCCTTTGGCATGGAAGCCTTTGAGGTCACAGGAGGCCTTGATCATCTGACCTTTTTCCCCCTGAGGATCAGTACATGAATCCACTTTTAAAGGAGCCCTGGTCGTTTTTATCTGTCTCCCAGCGCTGTCAACCCCACCAGTCCCCTTTTGTATACCCTAGGGACTGAGAGACCAGACAAGACTAAAATCCACAGAGGGGTCAGAGGGGAGGGCCTGGCAATTAACCCAGCATCCTGAGCAGGGTGGAGTCAGGGGTCAGAGGGGGTGGGGAGGGACCCTGACCCTCAGCTGCCACACCCACCCGAGGAGGCCTCCAGGGGCACCTACAGGTGGGATTCCAGCCTGGCCGCTATCCCTAGGTCTCTGAGCAGCTTCACACGCAACACAAGGTCTGCTCCTGACCAGGCCTCTTGCAGGGGTGGGCTCCCTGTCCCCCACCCCATCCAAAGCAGCAGCTGATTCCCTCTCCCCTGCTCCTTCCCCAGCTCCACTCTACTTTGGGAGGAGAATAACCTGTGATAATTTTTTCTTCTTCTTTCTGGCAACTAATGGACTCTTTAAATAGCAAAAATTGCGGCCTGTAATTAAGTTCTTGTTTTTTAGATGATTAATCATTGTAACCCCTTTGAGCAGCACCCTACTTTCCCCTCTCCTCATTGAGATGCAGATCACTGGCAAGGAAGGGAGGTGCTTCCAAGCCACTGAGGAGCAATTAAACCTTCCCAGCTGTCACTGCTAACTCGTCTGCCTCCCCCGGCCCCGGCCCCAGCCCCGTCCAGACGCCGAGAGAGAGCCCTGGGCCCCTGCTCGGTAGCCACGGCGCCAGACTCGCCAGCGGCCTGGCTGGGGGCACCGGGCCAGTCTGCTCCATGCCTGACCCTTGCCCTTGTGGGTCCATGCCCAGAAGCTGGCTTCGGGGAACTCCTGGGAAAGCAGATGACCCTGGCTGAGCACTCCTATTACGTATTTAGCATGTCAGGACTCAGACCTCACTCTGCTTGCCACAATAGCCACCTCCGAGAGAAATGGTTTGGGCCCCTATTTCCACAGAGGGGCACACAGAAGTGCAAATTCACAAAAGGACTGGCCGATCCCACCTGGGTTGGTTTTAATCTTTCATGTACTTGGCCAGTCAAGGGCTCACCTCACTGAACGCACATGGCCGCTCACTCACACACGATTCTTCATCAGCTCAAAATTTGTCCTCTGGGTCGATCTGTTCTATGCCATCCTTGCAAACAAGTGCCATCCTGTGTCAGCCCAGCCTTCTCCCTTTCATAATCACCCAGACTGACAAACTGATTTGGGGGTGGTAGGTTGGCAGAGCTATCAGGGAACTACTTGGGAACCCCTCAGTCTATACCCCTCATTTTACTCCAAAGGACTCTGGCACCTGAGGATTAAGAAATTTGGCCAAGATGACACATGGCCTTTCCAGCACTCAGCTGGGGGTCAGGCCTGGAGTAGGTGTGCCTGGGACTGCGGAGTGAGCCTCAGAAGTTATCCATGTGACACACAGCTCTTGCTCCAAAGGCAATAAAAGAGTTTATTCTGAGCCAAATATGAGTGACCATAGCCCCGGATCACAAAATCAGGTTACCCAAACTAATGTGCTCCTTTGTGGGAGAGGTTACATGAACTTTTATAGTCACAGAAAAAAATAAAGTCATGGAGGAGGTGTGGCTCAAGTGGTAGAGCGCCTGCTTTGCAAGCACGAACCCCTGAGTTCAAACCCCAATACCACAAAAAAAAAAAAAAGTCAACCATTGACCATGGCAGGGACAGTGCTAAAGGAAGTAAGAAAAAAGAAAAAAAGGAAGTCATAAATCAATGTATTTACCAAATACATTGGTGGGTGGACTCTTCTAAAGATTTCAGGCATTGCAACATTCTTTTTTTTGAGGGGGGGACTGGGGTTTGAACTCAGGGCCTCACGCTTGCTAGGCAGGCTCTCTACCGCTTGAACCATCCTGCCAGCCCGATTATAACACTCTTAACTTTAGGGCTCCTGGAAGCTGGAGGTTTGTTAAGCTTAGCAATACAATCCAAAAGTTTTGGGCTGGAGGCTTGGGTCAAGTGGTAGGGCCCCCGCCTCACATGTGCAAGGCCCAGGGTTCAATCCCCAGCACTGCATAAAAGATACAGAAGTTTTCCTAGTAATCACCAGGATGTTAGAGGTCACTCAGATACAGAGGTTGGTAGAAATTGTCTGTGAAAAAGGACTAAAGCTAGCCCAAGACAATTTAGATTGTGGATTTGTCACATTCTGTCTCTCTACAATCGCCATGTTCTGGTCGCCAGGGATGAGGCAGAAGAAACAGGGAGGACCCATGAACGGGGCTGCCATGGGTGGTGTGCAGAGCCCTGCTCAGATGTGCTGGGCCAGAGGCTGACAGGACCACACACTGCAGACCACTGAAGATGTGTGCAGGGACAAGCCTGCATCCTGAGCTGGGACAGGGGATGGGACAAGCCAGCGTGCTGCCAAAGGGAGCCTGCTTTTGATCCACGGTGGCTTCCACTGGAAACTCACACTACGTACAGTCCTAAAAAGTCAGTGGCCACCCCTGCGAAGGTCATATAGGTCACTGGCTGTGAGTGGGAGTGGTACCTGCCCCAAGGAGGACAATTTGGCAAGACAGGACAAGATGAGAAATGCACATGAACTGTGGCCAGCCAGCCTCCTTCCGGGAACTTATGCCACATGTGCACTAACTGACTCACGTGCA